GATGCGGATTCGTTTTTCCTCACTGAAGCATTTGGATGGTCTATTAAAGCTGAGGGAATAGGTGTTGAGGATGGAACGTTGAAACTGAGATCTTTGAACTTTATTTGTTCATTCTTATTCTCTATCTCGTCATAAACTTGGAGTTCGGGAGAAATTGCCTTAGCTTTGGATTTGGAGGGGTGGGTAGGAACTGGTGGAGTGTGGAAAGCGAGGCTGCTCAGAGTGGATGTATCCGAAGATAGCTTAATTTCGGCGTCTAGAAAATTGGTTTAAAAATGATTAAATAGCCACTTTGAAACACCCAAATTATTAAAGAGTTAGCTTACAAACATATTGTTGGGAGGATTTGTTTTGAGATGACTCCGTACTGGTTGGAGTGGAGGTATCTACATTCGGAGATGGAACGACCTTTGCTGAACTTCCTTCCGAAATTCTGTCGCATGGTAGTATGTCATCTCTAATTGTATCATATGGCTATAGCAGAAATATAACTTAGCCAAAGAAAGAAAACAGATGAAAGACACGTGAACATTCAAACATCTGAGGTGTTTGATAAAGCATGACGTGAATTCGATTATAAATACCAAAGTGATTTTAAGCACTGCTCAAAATGCAGGTTAATTATAGCTCAATAAACTCATATTCACTTATGCACACTCATATTTAACTTTACAGTTATGCAAGTGTCAATACAACTGGGTTTCCAAGACACAGACAAAATGTAGAGAGATCAATGTTCTAATAATATCAACGAATAAAATCTTGTAGGACAAACCTGAGTATATTTCATGAAACTAGCGCACATTTCTAACCAACCTTGAAGGGATTTTGGCACTGTTCCTTCCAAGTGCCTTATGCTATCATTACGAATAACTTTTGTAGCAAAAAATGCCCAATAAAAAATGTGCTTTGCGAAATTAGGTTTCAAACTCTTATGGCCTCCACCCCCCTCCCTCCCCCACTTAAATCTATTAAATTCGTCAGGGAATTTTTTATCCGTGCTTTACTTGGTTAGACATGTCGGGAAAATCTATCTCTGGCGCACTATTTGGTGACCAGAATAAGCCATTGCGATCGCACATACATATCGATGGATATGCATTCTAGAATGTCGTCTTCATAACCCCAGAACTGTTTGGAAGTATGTATAATAAACATGACACTCAGGTTTTCAATGTCATGGTCCGAATGTCAATTTAAACAACCGCAATGCATGATAACATTATGGTGTAGCTATGGAAATGTATGAACTACTTCTTCATTTCGTTGAGGTTTTGGCGATAGATACTCTTTCTCCGTTCTGTAGGAATAACCGTCGTCAAGAGTGGTGGGTTTAACTTCAGCAATTTCGAAAAATTGTTCATCTCCGCTGGAAGTCTAAGAAAAACAGGCATTTGTTAGAAAAATGTACTTTCAAGTAAAGTATCGAGTAATTTAGAAAAAAAATCACTAAACACCTTGTCAGGATCGGCTTTTTCAAATGGATGTATATCCATCTCGTTTAATAAAACTGTCGGCAACTTGAAAAGACCATTCTTGCATTGCTTGGTATCGACCCCATTTCCCTCTGAATTTCTCGTTTCTACTGAAGTTGCCTTAAGAGTTGAATCCCGACGGTCTGATTTATTTTCGTACTCTGTGAGGTGATGCTGGAGAGCGGCCCATTTCAGGTGACATGGTGGAGTTGTAGATGAGGAGGAAGAATGATCTGATTGAGGTGGAGGCAAATCCCAAGGATAGCTGAAGACGGTGCTAGCTCTACTACTGTTGCTTGCGTTAGAAGCTGTTTCGACAAGTTTAGTTTCAAAATTGAGAACATCTGTTTTGGGTGCGGCAATGAGACTCACTCGAACCGGACTAAGGTCTACAACAAAAAATTCTTGCAACTTGAATCACTGAATTAATTAAATAACTGAAAGTATGTATACTATTAGAGTATTTATCACTGAAAGCTGTTGGTTACTGATAAAAAGAAAAATTAAATAAAGAAAGATTTTGCTAAGATTTATTAAAAATAATTAAGAGGAAAATTGGACATTAAATGAAGAACATAAAATAGAAAATGTGCAATCTAAGATATTTTATATATGACAGGAGAACTCTAATATAGGCCACCAATAGCTATCAATTTATTAAGCCCAGGAACCATCAGTAAACTGGACTACAATTAGAGTAAATTGGGTTATGTGGTCATGCATAAACCCAGTTTATAAATTTACTGATTTTCTATTATTTCAACCTCAAAAAAATAAATCTTACTGCGTCAATCTTATATTTTATTGTCAATATTTCTAAAAGCTTTATCATCTTTGATGAAAACTTATCACTAATTACTTACTTGCAAATATAGAATACTTGTTAAAATGTGCTAAAGTGCAAGGTCGATACTTAGCAGAACTTTGAGTAAATAATTGAAATGAGCTGAATACTTGGTTAAGATGATTGAGTTATGCGGATCAATAAGGTTAAAATTTATTTGTAAAGTAGTATAATTAGATCTCGATGATTCCTTTAACTATTTCAAATAAATATTAAATCTATTGATATTACAACAAACGGTGCTTCTGAAAAGTCATATCTGTTGCATTGCTGTTCAGTATTGAGACATTGTTTAATGTATTATTATTAATTTGCACAAGTAATATATTTTTGGCAAATACCTGCACCATCAACAGTCTCCTTTGGAACGTCACATGGACTCTTTCTTTTATCCAAAGTATCCGGTGAACATTTTTGTGACTTCGGTCTAGCAGTAATTTTCTCTGGTTTTGGCCAATCAGGAGAAGATGAAGAATCCAGTGTGTTCGCCGAGTTTGTAGATGAAATAGTAACGGGTCCATCTTCGTCAAAGCCATCTGTTCCAACTCCACTTGAACAAGGAGAAGCTGACTTGCCTTCTGGACGAGAAACCTTTATAATTTTTTTCAACAAGAAAAATATTAAATTGCATCAGCCACTCCTTAATATGTGCCAAAGCCTTTCTTCACAGGGTGTTCTGAATAAATTTTATAGTCTCATCAGGCTTGAAATAAATTCAAAAGGCAAGGAAATTATGACTTTGCCAAAGAGGAGTACTCAAAGTAACCATTTATGCCCCTGCCCCAGAAACTGGTGCTAAGCTGATTTTTCGTCCCTCCTTGGGTTTGGCCATACCAACTGCCTTAATTCTGTCCAGTAACTGGTTGGCTTTCATGGTTCTGGCACAATTATTGGTATTCTTCACCACGGCTCTCAATACTTTCATCATGGTATACTCGGTAGTGATCTGGGCAAGGGGAGTTTGGAGGCTACAAATTTGGACTACTATAGACATAAAATTAGCTGACAACCATTTTGAACATTTCAGTGAGGTGTGACAAGAGGCCAACTCCTACTGCCGCCATTATTGTTACAATCCTGGGGAGCGCGATATACTTACCTCCACGTGGTACACACTCTGGACAACGTATACTTATATGGTAAAAAGTCTATTATTCGGCAGTTGACTTCTGATTTCAAACTAACATGACCCCACTGTATGTCAAATTCGAACACTTCAACAGTACCTTACCTTATATTACCTTTTCTCTGCATTTGTGTCCATCTGTCTCTTTACATCTGTGAATCACTCTTCTTTCTCCCTCTCGAATTTTCTCACTATGATGTTCACCTTCCCCTCTGTGAAGTCCGAAGTCAGCTAAAGGGCTAATGGTAACTTTCAAAACGCCCGCCATTTGAAATAAATAAATAAAGTATTGCAATCCTCGTTCACTATCCTTATACGGCAAAAAAGTCTATTGATCGCCAGTTGACTTCTCGAATTCAAACTACTATGGCCCGACTATTTGTCATATTCGACCCCTTCACAGTACTCATCTTAACTATTTTTCATATTCGACCCCTTCCACAGTCTCATCTTACCTTGTTTTATGCCTTTGTGTCTGTCTGTCTGTCTCTTTTACCTCTGCACCTTTTTTCTACCTTTGTGTCTGTCCCTTTTACGTCTGCGAAATATTATTCTGTCCCCCCTCTCGACTTTTTGTCACTTTGATGCTTTATTCTGTCTCCCATCTCGACTTTTTGTCACTTTGGTGTCCCTTCTCCTCTTCGTGAAGCCCCGAAGTCAGCTCCAAGGCTAATGATAGCTTTCAAAACGCCTGCCATTTGATATAAATAAATAAATAAACATTTTCAATATGATGCGCAAGACCTTAAAATTACACTTAAATCTTCTTGAAAACTGAAACTATTATGAAAACTGGAGATTACCTGGCTATTCGATTTTAAGAGCGGTTGTGTCCTGAGTCGATCCCACTGAACAAAAGGGTTTTGGCTGATTGGCGGGGTAGATTCCTTCTCGGTATTTACAACACCCCTGTAAAAGATTGAATATGAAGCAATTTAAATCATTATTTATTGAATATTAATTCATTTAAATTCAATAAATTTTACAAAGTATATTGCTTTAAACTGATAAGCAAAAAATTTAATTGAAAATAAGAAATACTCAGCTTTTCTCTCTCAATTCAATGCCAGAAATAAACAGAACAACAACGTGGTTCTGAAATCGATATTGGAACAAATTGATAGATTTCTAACGGAAAGGATGCGACTGTGTAACCTAGTGCGTATATCACGTCTTTTGACATTATTGACCAACATGGGGATGGATTTTTTTCCCGATCTAAGTATTGAATCAAATCAAAAGCAGCTTTAGCAAACCAATGAACACGCAACGGAAATAAAAGAGAATCGGTCTGCACCATTCAATCTGAAAATAAGTCAGTGATTGAGGCATTAGAGAAAGAGTTCTGTGCCAGTGAGAGGACGTGGAATGTCTTTCCCTATGGAACACAGTTGTTGAAATGAAGCTGTCTTCTGGGGGGGGGGGGAGTTCGAATGACATCAGTTGAAAAAGACCAGTTTCTATTATTTCCTCCTCAGATGCTGAATGCTACAGCCATATTTAATCCTCAAAAAAACTGAAATTTAGGACTTATGAAATTTTTTTGATTTCAACATTTTCAAATGATTTATTTAGTTGGGAAATATATTTTATTGTGATACCAAAGATATAGGGCAATTGCTTTCTTTGGTATTTAAATTAACAAGCATCATCTGAATTTTCCTTTCCCAAAGTTTTTTTAAGTAATATGCTAAAATTTTCTAAATTTGCAGCTTGAATGGATATAATTAAAAGATATTTGATATTTAAGGAAATTATCAAGATATCGTTTTAAAACCCGCATGCTACGCGGAGAAATGTCTATCCTTCCGCATCTATGTCAACAAGCATTAACTGGAGGTGAGTCGATAAAAATTAAACCAATGAGGAGATGGCCTCATTGAGTATCACTCCACCAGAGTAAAGAAACTAAGTGACTTATATAGAAGAAGTAAAATAACACTAGATTTAATGAAGAAATCGACACTTGGTCGGTAAGTCGAAGCAGAGAGCCACCCAAAACAGCTGAGTTAAAGGAATATAGAAAACTTTATCAGCTGCTGAGAGAGAAAAACAAAACAGTGGTCCTACAATGGATTCCTGGTCACTGTGGCATTAAAGGCAATGAGCTTGCTGACGCACTTGCTAAGAAGGGGACAACGATTTTGCAATGCATGGACCGGTCGATGTCTTTCCACACAATAAAGGCCTTAATCAGGAGAGAATTCAAGACCTCAAGATGCAACGAACTTAAAGCTCGAACAAAGGAGAAACAGTGGAGATTGACACCCTCCGACATAGCCGACTGGCCAAGAATCGAAGCCGTTGGTGAGTTTAGACTACGTACCGGACACGATTGCTTGGCAAAACACATTCACTGATTGGGAGTATACACTCAACCCACATGCCCTCTATGTAACCTACATGAGGAAATGGAGAAGTCCCACCTGATTCGATGTCCAGCTCTAAAGACAACGATGGAAAGCCAGAGATACTTGGAAGCAAGAAGACGGCTAATGAACTGCTATTAATTAACTGCTATAAATGTAACCCCCTACCCTTGGGGGAAGCTGAAGTCAAAGTTTAAGGGCTAATGATAAATATCATAAAGTCTGCCATTTGAAAAAATCTTTCCACAAGGCTTTCCAAAGAAGGTCGCTCGCAAGTTGATGCTGAATAATGGAATAAGGGATTTTCATTAGTCATAATGCCAAAGCCCACTTTAATACTCATTTTGGACAAAGAAACCTATCTGGGGAGACAATAGCCTCATTTATTAATTAGATTAAATTCGTACCTTCGCTGCATAACCATCCTTTCAATATGCTCACATTTGCAAGGCCAAAATGTGATACATTTCTATCAATTGCATTATCTTTGAGAAAGCAAATACATCAGGGAAAATTGGGCAATTATAAATGCATTCTGTTTAAAACGCCGGTAGAGATAAAATTAAAGGGTTGTTATCAAGAATACGCTGAAATTTTATCAAATTGTCATAGTGCGCGATTAAATTTCAACAATATTTCCATTCCAAATCGCTATAGATACGAAAGAGTATGTATTAATGATGTATTCATAAGTTAAATTTCCTAATTTACTGTAGGTAGTTTGTTTTAAATTTAGAAAGCAATAGTAGGCTTTCACCATGAGGTAACTTCATGAAGCAATCTGCATTATCCCAGCCTTCACGGTTGATCATGCCTTTCACGGGAAGTACATCAATAATTATTGAATCCGTAAAATCGGATATAAGCATCTGACAAGATATGTAATTCTCATGGGTGGGCGTGCGATTGACTTACCTCCACGTGCTACACCCTGGGCAACGTATACTCATACAGCTAAAAAAGTCTATTAACCAGCAGTTGACTTCTGACTCAAATTACCATATTCGACCACTTTCACAGTACTCATCTTATCTTTTCTCTGCTTTTGTGTCCATCTGTCTCTTTACATCTGTGAATCACTCTTCTATTCCCCACTCCTCGAATTTCTGGTACTTTGATGTTCCTTCCCTCTGTAAAGTCCGAAGTCTGCTAAAGGGCTAATGATAACTATCACAACGCCTGCCATTTGAAATGAATGAATGTAATTCTTATAGACATATTTTCAGAAATAGCTATTCAATAATCTGCCAATCAGATGATCATTTCGTTTGCAATACCCTGACATCGATGTTCGAATAATCCTTGAGGTGCGTGGAATCGATCATGATGATAACACGGATTGCCTCTATCTCTCCGAATACTTCGTTGCACTTCATGCTCGATATACATTCTCACTTCCCAACTTCAAAGTTTTATCGAAATGCACAAAATATGAAAAAGTACTCGAGAATTCAGCCAAAATTTTTGGAGTACTTTTCGGTGTCCAATAAGATAAATGACCAGAAATGCTCCACTTTCTAATGGTTTACATTTATCTTAGAAGCAGAAAAAAATTATGCAATCTTATAAAACTGAAGTCATTCTAACTTAGAATGACAACAGAAGAGCTTTTTAATTGGTAAAGCTGCGAAAATGCTGAGAGTATTAACGAGAAATACCGACAATCAGAACTTAATTGAAGCCGTTTAATTAAGTAATTAATTACGTGACAGTTGACTTAAGCATATGACGGATATGCCATGTAGTCCAATCGTGTAGTTGGCATGTATTGGACATTTTAGGTATCCGCGCTGATAGATCCAATTGGCAAGATTAAAACATTTACACGAGGATAAACTTTGAACTTACAAGTGGTTTAAACATTTCAGTCAATTATGCAAATGCAGTCACACACTTACACACACACACGGACGCACGCACGTACACAACATTCAAAATTGATAAATATTTCTATTTTGTCGAAGAAAGCTCAACATACGGTAGGGAAAAAGTGAAGAGAGATAAGGAACCCTTAACAAATTAATGTTTAAGAATAAACATTTACTTTTAAACCCAAAGAAGTTGACAGTCCTGAGATGCACCCTAATATATTAGAAGGAATGAAGTTGAATCTATGCACTGAAAAATTAATATAACCTGATCGCTAATACTGCACAAATAAGTCTTTAAAAAAACTCCAGTAAACTTTAGTTAGAGTCCTATAGTGCAACTTACTGTTCGACCACATCCTCCCACCAATATATAGCCAGGCTATATCCAAAGGAGTAAAACCACATAAGGTGTGATGAGGAGGGGATTCTAAATGCAAACGCCTAGTATTTGTTAGTAAAGGAAAGGTTGCGTTGCCCGAATATTGATTTCAGATTAGTTGGTAGGCCTTGTAGCAGGCATGCACTTTAAAAATCGCCAGGCACAAGAAAGATCCTTGTAATCAGCTGTGGTGGGGTTGTACAACCCACAAGTTGACAACTTGGCATTTGTAAGTATATTTAGTAGAGGCAAAAAAGTGGGGACCTGACATTTCAATACTGCCTAGTGCAATATGTTGAGGAAAGAACTCCAATTGTCTCCCTTTCAAGGCCATACTCATTAATATTTATTGGTGTAATAAGAAAATTCAACAAGGAAGCAAGTTTGACATGGCAATAATGCACTGAAATACATTTTAAATCTCTCTTTAAAAAGCTTTTAATGCTTAAATACTAAGTCAAAATAAACTAATTTACAATTGCATTGATTTAGAAGTTACCCAAAGTTAGTTTAACTTTTAAAAGTGCCAATTCAACCATTCGTTTTAGCAGATGATACTGGAACAAATCGTCTGAGTTTGAAACGTTTATATAGTGTAAAAGATGTCCTTTTTAACAAAAGAAAACGTATTTGCCATATTTGCATTCAACGCACTCGATCAGGCTAAATTTGGGTTTGTTAGTGGTGACCGGTCACGATTTGTTTACCAAGCATTGTATTTCAGCCTTTCCAATAATCACCCACATTGTGACACGTTTGGTTACAACTCGTCCGCAATTCTATATACATTTTGTGTTTTATTTTAAAAAGTCGTGGTCATGCACGCTTACTTTGCATGGAAAGGTTGAGCGTGTGTTGACTAAGCGTTTAGTTAAACTTACCACGCATTTGAATTACTATTTCGCCAAATTGTGATTCAGATTTATATACATGTTTATATTATTATTATTTCGCATTTTCAAAGATTCTAATATATTTAAACAAATTGAAAATATTTAAAGTGATTCACAAGCTAACAAGCCTTGTGTAATTGGAACGTCTAATGCTAAGTGCATTATGTCGAGAGGCCAGGCAAATGCTTGGGCATAGAAAAGGCAAAGAGGAATCCCTACAGAAGTCACAACCGAATCGACCATAATTTCTTTGTCTATATTAGTGCAACAGACCGCATGAACAGGGAAATGTAAAGATATTGGTCAAGCATATATTACTGAATTCATTAAAGCCCTTTTTATAATATTTTTAGTGGTTAGTGGGAATACTGATCGCTGGGTGGATTATTGCAGATTGATAAAAGCGTTTAAAAAATTGAATATCATCCCAAATTCTCCTTAATTATGAGTAAATGTATCTCCTTAGTCATTAGTAAATTATTTATATTAAAAAAATCTTAAACGACTGAGATTACTCTTAACGCTATTTCAAATAACTACCAAATATATCGGCATACCACTAAACTTCGAGTGCACTTAGCATATATCGATGCATTATTAGATTAAAACTCACTGAGTATTTTTAGAAATATCAGCTGAAACATCAACGGTGTTCTTCGGTGAAGCGCTTTTTAAAGATTTTGGCAAAGACGGAGGGGTTTGCTTAAGGCTCATCGATTTCAAGGCTTCTATAGTCCTTGGAGCAGAGTTCTCGCTCTTTTTCTCTGAAGGAGATCGATCCGTGAAAGACACATTTCGTCCGAGGGGTTTAGGAGGTATGGGCGGAGGGGAACGAAGTTTATGTCGACGTTCCTTTTCGTTGATTAGATCAAAAAGCGTAATCCGTCGTAACTCTGTATGTGGAGCTGATCCCAATTGCTCCTTTTCGGCATATTTCACCTCTTTCAGCGCGTGGAGTAAGTTGCTTGGGCCGGTCATTTTAGGCTCTTCAACCTCATAAATCTAATAAATAAATAAATATTCGTAATATTTAGGAATGAAAGCATTTCACAATTCACCCTTATTACTGTGTACAGCTTGGATATGCAGAATTTTGAGGAGCACAAATGTATGCAAAAGGTTGCATATTAAAAAAAATGTGCACCTTCTATTCGGGGATCGGTTACCATGGGGACTAAAGATGGTGTATAATCAAAATATTTGAACTTCATCGAAAGTTTTCTTCGTTGTCAAACTTAGTGAAAACTACTTCAGACTCACCAGAATAGAGATAGAGAATGATTGTAAGGATAAATGTCAAATTTGAATGACTAATGAAGGTGACAGATTCGAATACTTGTTCATTCAAAAATATTGAAACAGAATTCGAGGACTCACCTTATTGGAACGATAAGAGGTTATATGATAAGGACGAATATTTTACAAGTTTTGCAATATCTATTCTGAGGATGAATCATGTCGTCTTTGGTGCTCAGTTTAGTTTTTCGAGCTCTTAAATTCGAGCTAAATACACACAAAATCCTTAAATTACTTAACCTGCAATTAGGCATTCATAGCAAAATTTAACCCCTTAATGATAGAGAAGAACCATTCAAAATAGACAATAACCTTTCTCATCATATTCCTTCAAAAACCTCGATAGAATACTTTAGTTTCCAGAACTACCCATTGGTCGCAGTCAGTAACTGCACTTGCGGTCATATTTACAGATTTTCAAATTAATTTATGGCCATTGTTTAACGCTTCGTTTGAGAAATGGAGGCGTTAATTTCAAAGGCATGACTTACGAAATCTCGTCTTTCTTCGTAATACAGAATTACTCTTTCCACAGACGCAAGCATCACGGTTTTCAATGGGGGGAGTGAATATACGTTGAATATTATTTTAAACCATGCATGTTTCGGAATAAACAGGGTCATTCGAAAAGATTTGTCGCGTGTAGGGTGAATAATCAGTTTCCCAACATGCAGGTATTTTACACAAAATAGACGTTGGTCTAAATCTGCTGCCCGCTTGAGAGTTGTACATATTTATAGAAATCGAATTCAGACAAAACACAAGCCTCTATGATGTGAAAGTGGGGTGTGCGATAGACTTACCTTCACGTGGTACACCCTGGGCAACGTATATACATACGGCAAAAGTCTATTAACTGACAGTTGACTTCTCACTTCAAACAACCATCACCTCACTCTATGTCCTATTCGACTATTTCCACAGTACTCACCTCACCCTTGTTCTACCTTTGTGTTTGTCTCTTACATCTTTGAAACACTCTTCCGTTCCCCCCCCCTCACGACTTTTTTCAATTTGATGTTTCTTCCCTCTGTGAAGCCTGAAGTCAACTAAATGGCTAATGATAACCATCAAGACGCCTGCCATTTGATATAAATAAATGATGTGAAAGTTCTAACCTGAGGAGACAACTTGGCAAAATGAAGATTGAATGGGGTGCACTGTGTCTTATCGTGTTCCATTAGAGTTTAAATAATGTGTAAAAGAATATCTGTTCTTTTCCAAAAAAAA